GCGCTTATGGATATTTTCTTTTCTTTCTTTTTTTTTTTTTTTGGTGGAGAGTTGGTCCTCAGTAAATAACCATACAATAAAAATTGTGTTTAAAAAATTAGGGAGAGAAACAATGTGCAAATACTGAAGAAGACTTGGTCTAGGCAGGGGTACTCTTTTAAAGAAATAACATTAAGTACACAGAAGAAAGATGAAAAATACTTTCTAGGCAGGGGCATGGAGAGGGAAGAGAATATAATCATGAATAAAATATTTATATTTAACCTTTGGAGCCATTAGCCTATTTTATATTAGGATAGTCAGTTGCCAGAGACTTAATACTTTATAACAAAGGGAATATTTTTAGCGACAGCTCTAGAGGCTCAAGAACAGAGTAAGAACCTCATGCTGGTGGCATTGTGGAGGGAGTGCTGTAGAAGGGAGAGATCGCGTGGTGTTGGAAAAAGCCAGAACACAGAGGCGTCGGGCTCACTTACACAACAGCACTTTCAGAGGACTATCCCAGGTGTCAGGAGAACCCCACCAGTTCCTTCCAAGGGCGGTGCCCACAACGACCAACCCCCAGCAGGAGTCAGCTCTAAAAGGCCCCACTACTTCTGAGTGTTGCCATACCAGTGACCAAATTTCCAATGCATGAAACTTTGGGGAACATAGCAGAAAGGAACAGTGTGGTGCCTTTAAGAAGCGGAGGATGTATGGCTGATAGTATGTCAGGAGGCAGCTGATAGAAGGATCTGTTGGGCTAGGGGATGGACTTTGAATTAGATTCTGAGCATTAAAGGCAGCCATTGAGAAATGCAGTTTTTTTTTGTTGTTGTTGTTTTGTTTTGTCTTGTTTTGTTATACTGGCTGGCGTGTGGAGGGTGACTGACGGGATGGAATAGAAATCAGTATGAGAAGCCATTAGAAAGCCAGCCAGTAATTTGGGGGAGATGTTAAGCTGACCTGAGTCAGGGCAGAACCAGATGGCACTGGAAAAATTCTGAAGACAGTCCAAATAGCACCTAGCAATGGCTAGGTAAGGGCAGGAGCGAATGGAAGAGAGAGGAACCGAGATTTGTTCTTGCAGTGAAGACTGATTCCCTCTTAGAAGTCTAATTGTCAGGAACTTGTGAATGTGTTCCCTTAAACAATGAAATGGGCTTTGAGGATATGATTAAATTGAGAATAAGCAATCGTGATTCTGAGGCATTTTCCCTGTGGAAGGTTTGACAGGAAGTGGCTGTGTCTTAATTTCTTTTTTCTTTTCGCTCTCAAGATCTAGCCTGTGTGTGATCCGCTTTGCTCAGCTTCGCTTGTCAAGCGAGTGGCTGCATCTTAGCTGCTGAATTACATTCTTCGGCACCCTGAACTCTCCTTTCTTCCTGGTAGGTATTAGGTCTGGAGGAAACACAGGACAGAAGGCCAACGGGGGTGCCTATTAGCATATCAAAGTGGATGCTCCTTCATCCCAGGTACCCACTGCAGAGTCCTGGCTTCTCTCCCAGCACTTCTCACCCCAGCCCCCTACCCTAACCCTTGCCAGCCCTGAGCGTCCCTCCACTCCCGCCAGCTTTCCTCTGCTCCATGACTCAGTCATTTTAGACACATGCTTTCTTGCTCCTCTCGGTGCCTGGCTGCTTTGTCCATAAGCTCTTCCTGATTTTTCTTTCTTTCCTGTCCCCTCTCTTGGCCCTCTCTCTTCTCTTCCTCTCTCATTCTCCCCCAATCTCGCCTCTTATGGCTCTGTCCACTCTGCTGGCCATGTTCAGTGTGGACTCTTCCAGATGCCTCTGGCTGGCTGTTCTCTCTCTCTCTCTCTCTCTCTCTCTCTCTCTCTCTCTCTCTCTCTCATATCTATGATAAAAACCTCCTCAACCATACACAGGAGTGGCCCTTGTTTTCCTTCAGCAGGATCCTGGGATTGGTTGTTGCCGAAAAGATTTTGCTGTTGATATTCAGATGTACAACAAATCCTTGACACCATTAGGCAGCCTTGGTCTTACTCTAACAGTTGTTTCTGCTGTCACTGTTCTCCGTCTTCTCCATGCTCAGGGGGTTCTCTCTGCACTAATGCTTACGTGTTCATCACCTCCTTAAAGGGGCTGTTCGCCTCACCCCTTCTCTTTCAGTGCCAGAGGAACAAGGAGACAATCTGCCTCCAGGGTCTTGATTGTCTGGCATTTGGACAGCTACCCCCCCCCCCCCATTCACATTTTGAAGCAGCTGCATTGATTACAGTCTAGTCCCTCCACTACTACTCCAGCTGTCTGCCAGGACTGGGGTCGCCATTCCTGGAGGATAAAGAAGAAAGCACGGAAGGCGGAGAGCCAGCAGAGTTTCTAGCACATGGAAGGCCCTGGGGGCCCTGGCTACTCTTCACCTTTTTGGCTCAACTGAATCATTTCCATTTTGCCTACAAGGTGTTCAAAATAACCACATATTAAATGTCCAAGAGAGTTGGTCTCATTTGCATTGTCATGCAGTGGCAGCAAATACTCTTTCTTCTGGGTTCTTAGTCCCCAGCGTTTCTGGGTTCACCCTGGGAGGTGCTGCCTTTACTTATATGGATATGACTCACTGAGTTTGTTGCCCAACCAGTACTTACTGGGCTTTAACGATTTGTGCTGAAAACTGTGTTAGGGTGGGGTTCACAGGGATTGGTAAGGCAGACCCAGGCCTTGCCCCACTAGTATTATAATCGAGTTTAGATTTGCACTGGGATGCAAATTTAGTATGCCAAAGGAGTTTCAAAATATGTAGGTTGACAAAGGGGTCTCAACACATCTATATTGAGAAAGGTTTTTTGTGTTTGTTTGTGTATTTACTAATAGGGACTCCTGATGTTAAAAGAAAGCCCGGTTCTCAATGCCTGAGGAGGGGTACCGTCCCCTAGGGCACATTCCTAAGTGTGTTGTTTATTAGTTTATTTTGTACTGTCCCACTGAAATGGCAAGGGATTACAGCTCAGATCTTGAAAAGCACTGGAGTTCAAATCAAGGATGCTGTTTTAAGTTGCTCCTCAGTGGACATGGGCAACCCATGGGCACACCAGGACATCCCATCTCAGACCCAACTAGAGTACTAAGTAATGTCAGTTGGTGTCTTAGTTAGGGTTAATATAGTTGTGATGAAAGACCCTGACCACAGCAGCTAGGGGAGGGAAGAAGGGTTTCTTTGTGCTTTCTCATCACTGTTCATCATTGAAGGAATCAGGACAGGACTCTGGAGGCAGGAGCTGATACAGAGCCCATGTGAGTGCTGCTTACTGGCTCGCTCCTCATGGCTTACTCGGCCCATTTTCTTACAGAACCCTGAACCACCACAATGGGCTCCACCCTCCCCCATTAATCACTAATTAAGAAAATGCCTATAGACCTCTGATAGCCCAATCTTAGGGTAGCATTTTCTCAATTGAGGTTCCCTCCTCTCAGATGACTCTAGCTTGTGTCAAGTTGACACAAAACTAGCCAGCCCAGTTGGGAGTCTAACTTGTTGAGAGATAAAATTCAGTGTATACTGAAAGAACAGGTGTTTAACAAGGGTTGGGGGAAGCAGTAGATTTAGAGATGTCTGTTTGGACCCATTGCTATCATCTGGCAGACAAAATCATCTTATTGGGTGTGTAACAATTTTGGTGATTTCTGTTGGGCTGTTTTTGTTGTTGGACTTCTGTTGGAAGATATATCTTAGGTAGCATATGAGACTTGAGAAGCAATATTATAGTTGGAAGAAAATAAAGTCAGAACAGAAGAGAATGTGAAACTTCCCTTTATATTGGGGACCTTATTTGAGATTATTTCAAAAACTCCAAGATTGAAGCAATTTAAAGGCAGAGAGTTGGGATTTCTCCATTCTTTGTGTATCTTTAGAAAATGTAAGTTTTGGGAGGCAGGGCACTATGGACTTTTCCACGCAGATTCTTACTCACATTGGTCTGATCACACCCACACAATTAAATAATAATTCTGACAAATTTAGATAGTTTGCATCAGTAAGAAAGTTTATTGAAATTCATTAGTAAATGAGAAATTCATTAGTAAATGAGAAAGTTTTCTTTTTTTTTTTCTCCACAAAAGAACACTTTCTGATAAATGAAAAGAAGAAATACAGAAACCACAAAACACCTTTTAGACCATTATTTTCAAGGAGTGAACCTATTTCCGTAGACCATTAGGACAGCGTGTTTTCTCGGACATTTTGTTTTCCATACGTCTGTGCTGTGGCCTGTGTGAAGAGACTCTTCTATGCAACTTAATAGAAGTGTTTCTTGGTTTCTGATTCAATCATAGACGAAAGGACTCTACCCTCAGGTGTCACCTCCTCAATAATCGTCTTGATCACTCTGGTTCTGTTAGTATCTGTGGAATGATAAACCAAAAAAACCCGCAGAATTTAGATAAAACTATTTGTAGAGATCCTGGCTAACCAACAAGCTAATATTACAAAAGGAAGACAATAAAAATTTTCCAAGTTGATCTAAAAAACAAAACAAAACAAAACAAAACAACCAAAAAGCTCCCCCCCCCCCCAAACACAACTCCAAGCGGTAGGTGGCACTTTCAAAAACTGATGTCGTCTATAAAATGATTAAAAACACAAATGAAGACCTAACTCGACATCTTCAGTTGTTTCAAAACCGGCTCAGGAGTTTAAAGAGCGGCGAGACCCTTCGAGAAAGTTAAAACTAATTCAGATTACCCCAGCTAGTTTCAGCTGACCTTGGTCCTTTGGACGATTGTTCGCCGCCGCCGGAAGAAGATTTGAACCCTCCGCTTCCGCTCTGGCCTCCGCCGGAACTGCCGCCGCCGTAGCCGCCGCCGGAACTGCCGCCGCCGCCGCCGCTGGAACTTCCGCCACCGTAGCCGCCACCGGAACTGCCTCCGTGGCTGCCGCCGCCGCTGGAGCTTCCGCCGCCGTAGCCGCCGCCGCCGCTAGAGCTGCCACCGCCGTAGCTGCCGCCGCCGCCGCCGCCGCCGGAACTTCCGCCGCCGTAGCTGCCGCCAGAGCTTCCGCCGCCGTAGCTTCCGCCGCCGCTGCCGCCGCCGCGCCCGCCGCCGTAGGATCCGCCTCCGGAACTAAATAATAGTGTGAGGGTCAAATGCGTTCCGTTGTAATAGTTGGAGAAAATACAATCCAGTGGTTTGTCTGTTAGTGCTCGTGCATTTGTAACAAATATTCATACACACAGGCCCCTAACTTCTGAAAACATCACCGTTCCCCTTCCCACCTCCTTCGCCCTACCCGCTGGCCTGTCCTTGGGTTAGGATAAGCTTTGCTATGTGGAATCCTGAATGAAAGCAATTGAGGCTCTTTGCAGGTTTCCAATATACCTTCCCTCTCCTTCGAGCAGGCTTCGGTAGGTTTGGATCTCGTTCTCCAGTCGGATCTTAATGTCTAGGAGCTGTTGGTACTCTGCGTTCTGGCACTCGGTCTCAGCCCGAATCTGTTGAAGCTGTTCCTCCAGGGCGGAGATCTGGCTTTGAATCTGGGAGAGCTGCACGCAGTAGCGACCTTCTGTTTCTGCCAAGGAGGCTTCCAGCGATTGTTTCTGAGAAGACGGTTTTATTAAGTATAGTGAAACATGGAAATTACTCAGTAAGACGTCAGAGAAGGAAAGTAATAGGGTTCAGGCCTGATGGCAAGCACTGCAGTTTTGTGCATGATTGCCTCGTTGCTAGCAGTTCTTTTCCTGTACAAAGCTTCGATTTCGACTCTACTTTCTTTACCCCCTCCACCCCCAACTCATTCCAAGCATGAAACGTGGCAGGATAAAATAGAAACCATTTTACAAGATTTAACATACCAGGGCCAGCTGGGACTGTAGTTCGATCTCCAGACCCTGGACAGTACGTCTTAGTTCAGTAATTTCACTCTTATGGCTGGACATTTGTTCAATGTTGCTGTCGATTTCTGTGGTCAGTTCTCTGCTCTACAGGATTAAAAACGGGAAAAGATGAGAATTGAGCATGATAACAAAATCTAAATGGGCTTCACCTAGAAGGGCATTTCATTTACCTTCTCATTGAACCAGGCTTCTGCATCCTTGCGATTCTTTTCTGCAAGTTGTTCATACTGGTTTCTCATGTTGTTAAGCAGTTGAGTCAGGTCGACCCCTGGAGCAGCATTCATTTCCACATTCACATCACCAGTGGACACATTTTGAAGGTCTCTCATTTCCTGTTTGTGGGACGGTTAGAATTAATGAATGCACCATGACCAAGACAATTTTTTAAAATTTCTATATTTATTTATTTATTTGAGGAGAACTGTCTCACCTCCTCGTGGTTCTTCTTCAGGTAGGCCAACTCCTCCTTGTAACCCTCAATCTGCATCTCCAGGTCAGCCTTGCTAAGGGTCAGCTCATCCAGCACCCTTCGTAGGCCATTGATGTCGGCCTCCACGCTCTGGCGCAGGGCCACCTCATTCTCATATCTGAAACAAGCAGGATACACACACTGGAGAATGAAGGTATACTTTCACAAAGACTGATACAAAATGCAAATACAGATTTGGTTATTCTTCATGGCAACGTGTAACACACAAACTCACAGGAGTATTAAGAATAGTCTGGAATGTAGGGCTATTAATAATTATTGATACAAAGAATGTTAGCTGTTATTTAAAGCACGTCTTTCTTTTAAAGATTACCTAAAAGATATTATTACAAATAAAAATTTCTTTAACAGCTCAGAACTGTTTCACCCTGGATGAGTTCACGAAAATGCAAAAGCTGTTGTGGGCATCCAAGGTTCTTGTTTTAAACACATGCTCTATTTGTGCCACATTCACTTAGCTTACTTCAGTCTGAAGTCATCAGCTGCCAGTCTGGCATTGTCAATCTGCAGCAGGACACCGGCATTGTCAGTTGTCAGGCTGAGGATCTGGGGGGAGAGACACAAGTTATTGAAAAGATCAGGTGGGTTTATGGCTTTTTAGATAAGCAGAGGTGTGTTGCATTTTTATACACTTGCAAAAATTTGGAGGGAGGTTAATTTAAGCACAGAATATTACAGACTTGCCCATATGATATTTTTTTTTTCCTCTTGAGGTTTCAGTACTTTTACAGCCATGATTCCTTTCTGGGCACTGGCTGGGATTGTATAGGCATATTCCTTCAGCTATGACCCTCTCTTTACAGTTGTGATTTGCTTGTGTTGCAACTAATTTTTGAGTGGCTCACACTTGTATTTGTTTAATGTGTTATAATACTTCTAAGTGCATATACCCTGAATTTATAGATGTAGTTAACATAGTCCCTAGAGACAAGGGTTATCTCATTTCTGTGTTGGAAAGTTGGTGTTTCCCGTAATGTTAGTGTTGGATATGAGTTCCTTGTTTATAATTGTAAGTAAGCCATGTATATATGTGTATATGTAATATATATTCATTTAAAATTATTCTAGTTCCCACATTTGTACATGATCTAGCATATTTTAACTGTGAACTCACTTTTACGTTTGTGAAAACCCAGAAGGTTTTCGGTAGCCTGCCACCTTGGAAGAAGGGTGACACACATGCTGAATGAAGATTGACATGACCATACGGTCATAAATATCTTTGATGACACTTGGTTACACTATTGACATGAAAAAATTAAAACTAACAGAGACAGCCCTCAGCTGTGCTGTGCTTAGCGTAATTTCATCTGTCTGCCTTCCATGGATAGAAACCATCCAGAGCCGGAATTTACAGTGCCTTACCTGGTTCTTAAGGTCTTCGATGGTTTTATAGTATTTGCTGTAGTCCCGGGGCTCACGCTGGCTCGAGTTGCCGTGCTTCTCATACCACTCTTTGATTTTCCCCTCCAGCTCGTAGTTTGACTCTTCTAGAGCCCGGACTTTGTCCATGTAGCTAGCCAGACGGTCGTTCAGGTTCTGCATGGTCACCTTTTCATTTCCAGAGAGAAGGCCACCACCGTCTCCTCCAAATACACCACCAAAGCTTCCTCCATAGCCACCTCCACCGAAGCCACCGCCGCCATAGCTGCCACCCCCAAAGCTGCCTCCTCCATAGCTGCCTCCTCCACAGCCTCCACCAAAGCCGCCTCCTCCATAGCTGCCACCCCCAAAGCTGCTTCCCCCATAGCCGCCTCCTCCGAAACCTCCATAGCCACCTGATGAGCCCCCAAAGCAACCTCCACCAGAGCTCCCACGGCTAAAAGAGCCACTGCTGAACCCCCCTGAGCTAAAGCCTCCACAGTGGGAGCCTTTGGTGCTGGAAATTCTGAAGGCTGAGCCTCCTCCCCCCCCTCCACTACGGGAGGAGGATTGCTGCTTGGAGCTGTATCGAATAGACATGGTGTGAAGGAGCTCAGGGAGTGCCTGCTACCAAGGACAGTGACTGAGCCCTTATATACGGAGAGGGCGGGTCTCTTAGGTGCCAGGGTTTGCTTACTTGCATGGTTTTCTTTTTGCCAGGTTAGCATCTTTGGCTTATGATTGCATAAATTATCTTCAGTAATAACCAATACCTTTTCAATGCTTTTGTATTTGCCCTGAGAACAAGTGGGAAATTTTCTGTGTTGAAACTGAAAATGGGTGGAGTTCAGATGAGTGTACATTTTACCTTTCAGAGACCATTGAGTAACTATTAAAAATCTTAAGTTTTCTCATGTTCATTTAGGTTGCACCCGGTATTCGCTAAGAAAATAAAATTGCCTACAGATTACAGTTGAAATAAGAAATTTTCAAATTCATGCTTCAGATGGCTTTAAGAATTGTAGTAAGTAGCCAGTGTGCTGAAATAATGCTGTAATATGGATCTTGACACTAAATGAAAAACCAGGATATGCTGAGCTATTTTATTAGTGTTGAAAAGTTGCCACGTTTAAGAAGCACAATTCAGAAGATTATATATATGTTAATATAGCATACATGTATATATGATATATAATATATGCACATTTATATAATGTATGCACATTCATATATGTATATAATACACACACATATATAATCTCTTATGTAGAGGATTTTTTTTTTATTTGGCAAATGAGAGTATATTCATATTTTTGCAGAGGTACACAAAGAATGAGTAAGGAATCTTCAAATGCAATGATGCTACTATTTGAAATAAGAAATCATGAAGTTATTCTGGGCTATCTCATATCTTTAAGCTCATGGTTCAGGTTCATGTGAAGCCCTAGGGGCAGAAATTCTAAGCACAAGAAGCGAGGAACTAAGCTGCAGTGCCTTAAGCTCTGACTGATTACAGAGAAAGAATTTGGGTCTGTTTTGACTTGCAAGAAAAAGTTTTCTTGTAGCACCATAAATCGTCACAGAATGGCTCTTGTGTCAACTTATAACCCAGACTTGCACCTCTGCTTCCAAGCTAGATTTTCCTTCTCAGTAAACAAACAAAACCCATTTTATTGTCTACGCTGTGCACAGATTTCAGTGGGACAATGTCTAGTGAATTCCTTAATTGGGACTTTACATGACATGAAATTGTTTTATTACTACCCATAGGCTATGGCATTGCTCTTGTTAAAATATATTACACATACATTTCTTTGTATAGATTTTACAGATGTTTTAGGATTAGGTAGTGCTTTTGGGGATAGGTCGATTTGAAACTCTCTAGGATAGCTCACCGACACAGGCTTAGCAGTCACTGCTTCAGTTTTGTGTCAGGGAGGTGAAGCTGAGGAAGGTGGTGAGTGTTCTAACGACGGCTGGCTGAACTACGGTTGGAAGCGTGGTTGAATCTTGGATTTGGCTTTTTGTACTATTCCACATTATAGATTCATTCTCTCCGGTGTTGGATTTGCTGTCAGAGAAACCAAGGCTCCTGTTCTCACCACATGCTTCTTCCCAGGGGAAAAAGCAAAACAAAAAGAACATGGAAGCAGGAAAATACTGAAAGTGCAGGGCCTTGGCATGATCCCATTAGTAATTGCTTTTCCAAATTGAATTTGTAGCTGCACCTTCCACAGGACGGGAGCTAGAAAACAGTCTGTGCGGGGGGAGGGGGGAGCGTGGTCAAAGCATCAGTGAAAAGCTGCTTGTTATGCTCCAGGTTACCACAGACTGCAGCTCCTCCAACTTGCCAGCACCTGCAAGTAGGGCAGCGGCTGAAAGAAACAAAA